CTTCTTGCTTTCCCCCGTTACAGCCAGTAATCAAACCAATCTTGAAATGGAGCTTTCTCAGCTTGGAGATACATATCCCTTGACATTTTGCCTGCTTATATTGGCACTTTGTAGTTTTTTTTGGCCCAAACATTTTTCATTCTTGGATACGCCTAGGGCAGGCCCTTGTGGACTGGACATGCCAGAAGATAGAGTCTATAATTCTTCAGGAGTTTGTTAGCCAGAGACACTCCTCTAGTTTGCTAACTCCTCTTTGATTTGGATGAAGTGCGCCATGCCCTCAAAGACTTAATGTCGATGCTATTGGGTAAAGTGGATCAATTGGACTCCAATCCTTCACGGGGGTCCAGGTCCATTTTTGACGTCAGGAAGCCCAGGTAACCACAGGTGGGAATCTAGGTTGAATTGGAGGTAAGAAAAACACCAATACATGAAGGTAAGACGAGGAATAAAAATTACTACTTAGTTTAACAAAACATTTTCCAGTTTATACTTTATTATATATAAAAGGGAACACTAAACATATGAAACAGTAAATTAACTGCCTTATTGTTAATCAAATAAATAATACTATATTTTTGTATAAATCATTATTGCGATCCTAACTAAGTTATTTAAGGACATAACATAGTCTGCACGTACATTTTACCCAGGTTCGATTCCATTGTGCAAGTTATGTAGCAATAAGAAATAAGCAATCTACTTTATTAATTGGTATAATTGCCAGGCAGTAATCCAAACTGATTAATTGCTTCAGTTGTAATACACGTCTAACCCTGGCCCCAGAGGGCGACCGTCCTTTGTCTGCTCATCCCTATCTTGTGTTCTGAATCTTCTCCTCAATCTGAGCCTTCCTGCATAAATTTCCTCCTTTCTCCACGTCCCTGCCCTTCTCTCTCTCTCTCTCTCTCTCTCTCCTCTCTCTCTCTCTTGATAAAATTCCATACTCTGTCTCATTGCTTTGACGTCAGAAACGGAGAGCTCCGCCTATATGGGCAACTCTCCACCTATCAGGGGAATGAGAGGTTGCCGTGGCATGGTAACAGCATGGTAACATGTCACTCGTGCCACGCCCCCCTCCTTTGCAGGGGGGTGTGGTCAGCTGCAGCTCATTTGCAACAGAATCAGCCCTTGCAAAAACAGGGCTGGAATACAGCAAATAGAGCAAAATGAGGCATGGCTAAAATGCATGGTCTGTTTGGTATTTTGAAAAATAAAAAGTATAAATATGCCTTATATAGGTATGGTCATACACTATGTTATTCAAATATAGCATGATAGGTCCACTTTAAGGTTGAACAATATTTAGCTGGAGAACATTTATTTGCAATGACTCATCCAAAAGTGGGTCAGTGAGGTTTCATTCTTTGGAAAGAATGGAAATAGATACATCACAAATCAATAAAACTACAAAGCTAAGACAAATCAGGTGACATGTTGTTTTTGTGACCACAAATAGCACCCAATTTGTCTTTGTGCACAACAGTGAGTGCAAGCCAAATTGGGTGCTATTTGTGGTCACAAAACAAACTTTGCAAACACATTGAATTTAGCTTGGAGTATGCAACTGACATCCAACACACATAAACACAAAACCTTCAAACATATATTGTTTGAACAATACACCATCCTGACGGTGAGTCAAGAATGCAGACAAGCTCACATGACTTGTTTAAAACTGGTTCTCTGAAGGACTGCTGAATATTATATTTATGTCAGTCTTTCTGTGTCCTTGCACACACAGTCCGCTTTGCACAACTGTAAAGAAAGCAGCTCACAGCCAGGTGTGTGTCTCAGCAGGCAGTAACTCTATGTATCAGTGAGCAAGTTCTGTGACATCGTATCTCCTGCAGCGTCACCCCGCTTCCTGTTTCTCCTGTCCTTCATCTCCCAGCAGGCGATCCCTATCTGCTTAATTTGTTTTGAGTATTTTATTTTATGGAATCACCAGAATATAAAAGGATTGCCAGGTTTTTTATTCCTCCTCAAACCCCATCTGTGCCAGTTCTGCCTTCTTTGTAGAGATTTCTCATCCGTTTTTTTGATGTAGTAAACTGTCAATGATAAAATGTGGAAGGTAAAATTCTTTCATCCGCCTCACAAATAAAAAGTTTAAGGCTTGAATCAACAAGTTTCATATTTGTAAGGAAAGACTTCCTGGGTTTTTGTTTATTTGCATGACTGTGTGTTTTATAGCAAAGCATTTATATTTAAGTGTCCCATGGTGCTAACAGAAGTAGGTGGCCAATATGTTTACCTTGGCTCTCAGAGGCACTGTCACACAAGAGCGTACTCATGGGTTATCATCTTGTTGACAGTCAAGAGGATTATACAAAGACAGAAACAAGCAAGGTTTATCAGCCTCACATCCACAGGAGAACACACACACATGAAAAACTGCAATCCTCCAAAGAAGAGGGCCATGGAGCACTGCAGAAAACACACACACACAAATACACACATATATTTGGCAACCTGAGCTCTTTCCCACTATCTCCCTTTCACTTCAATACTTCCTGCTTTAATTCACCTTTCCTCATATCTGCGGGAATTAGCTCCCCGCATGTTGTCTTACAGGATTTGTAAGGTAAACAAAATGCTTTTCACTTCAAAGACAAAGTTTCTCCATTTCATAATTGATACCTCTGCTCTTGACATCAAGCTTTGACATGCTGGGTTTTGTTCCTATGACAACAGAGCTGCATTCATCCTCTGATGTTCTCCATGGCTCTCTCACTGTTATACAAGTCTATTTTAGTGGAGAGATCCCAGTGAGTTCTTCCATTGTTTTGAGGGATCATTACAAAAGATTCCCATACACTTGTGTGTATTCAGATGCTTTTCAGGACGGAATCCATTGTCTTCTCTTCATGACTCCTTGACCTTTACATAAACATACATTTCAACTTTGGTCCTAAACCTTAATTCGAAACCAGAAAAATATATCCATCCTGCAGAAGATTTTCTATCCATGTGGGGGAATTTGGTCCTCTTAACAGTAGAAGTACAAGTGCACGCACACACAGCCACAGCCGGTTCCCCCTTTGCGATAACTCCTACAAAACGCCTGTCATCCTTACTCAGTCATACACTAGCAGGGAGTCAGCGCAAGCCGATGGATCAATTTAGTACAGAAAAGCTGTGGCATTCTTCAAATGTAATGGGCTTTGATGTAGACGCTGAGCTGCATTACAGAGCCCTGCTGAAGCCACTGAAACCTCTTTTCATCTGCCTGCTTCCTATGCAGAGGACGCTGGCAGGAAACGTGCCTCACTTCTGCTATGCTGTGTTTTAGTATTATTCTTCTTCTTCTTGTGCCATGCGGTTCACAGCGTGCACACCTACACTCACACATCCTCATTTATATGTTTCAGATGCATGTGAAATAACTACTTCCCTCTATCTTGTTTCATACGATTGGTTCTGCCTGCCAGCCAAACGTGTGACCCTATTTTGTGACACTCACGTGATCATATTGAGCCTTTATGATAATAAAACAAGGCCTTGCTCTTATGAGATGTCTCCTTGTTTATAAAGTATGATTCCATCTGTGTAGCACTCCTTCCGCAGCTTCAGACTGCCCCCTGGTGGAAGCTAACTGTGTAGCATGTGTCTGCATTGTTTTTTTATATGCGAGGAAGGTTTTTCAAATGTTTTATTTTGTTGGAGTGAGGATGACTCTCTGAAATGGCTCCCTTTAGAATATATACATTGGTATAAATCTCAACAATTACACATCTAAAAGACTATATTTTAAATCTGTTGCAAATGAAGGAAAATACAAAACATTATGATCATATCCATAACCAACTTCTCGGTGGCAATACAATCAAAGTTACATTGACTCTTCCAATTGGACATACACTAAAAATACCGGGTCTATCTTTCATAGCTTTAATTTCTGACTGCAAGTGTAAACCCAAGGCTTCTTTGACCCGGCTGCAGCACTTCACAGTTCTCGGTAATGTTCCGTTTAAATTCAAGTGTCTTTCTATCAGTATGTGAGACACGTTTCACTGCAATCACCCCTCCTTTATACCGAATTCTGTCATGCTGGGAATTGCAATATATCTAACCCCTTCCACGTGGCTTGTAATGCCACCTTAATGACCACAGAATTGGCTGCCTAACATTCAAATCACTCTGTCAGGCACATTAAATAAAGATAATGCAGAATTTGCTTTGAAAAGCTTTATTTATAATAACACTTAAAAAGTCATCCAGGGGGCAAGCAAATAAACAATAATACCATTACGAATATTTACTGCTCTTGACTTGGAGGCAGAGGACTGAATACTGATGAATGAGACATAAATTGCTTTGTTTCAGTGGGTCGTTTGTTATCAGACTAATAGGGAGGTATTTGAGCACAGAGCGCACACATGTATCTCTAATTAATACTGCTCAGTGTCCATTGTGCAGTATTATGGCATATTAAACAATGTTTTTTTTAATCATATGTTTTCATGGCAAAATATACCATTACATTTTTTTATGGAACTGGATGCCATACTTTACTGTGACTTCGTTAACCTTTTTTTTCACATAGATTTTTTAACCCATAGATGCACGA